TGAGGTTGGAAACACGATCCCAATTCCACACCTGTCTCATCAGCTTCTAAAGTGACATTAGGATCCGTAAGTTCCCAACAAACTCTTCGGAGACTAGAAGAGACATTAAATAGCGCCTCTCCATCTGGATGCCAAAGCTATAGGAATAAATCAGTAATATTACAGAAATACTCGACATCGACTTACATTAAGAAACGTCTTTTCCGAAGCTCCAATCTTCATCTGCCGAAGAATCATTCTAATTAACCAAACCAACTCAGCCGGATTCATTCTCTGATAAAATTCTCGAAAAATAGGCAATTGATTTTCTTCCTTTTGGGCCAAAGCAAGTTTGTCAAGCATCTCATTAACTTCCCCAATACTCATATTTCCAACCTTCTGTCTCATTGGTCTTTTCGATAAAACCTCATAACACCTTCCCGGAAAATCTCCCGAATTGGCACTTGGGGGACCTCGCGCTGGAAGTTTCCAATTCATAAGATTATACCCATCATCCGAATCTTTAGACAGATTCAAAAGCTTGATAATGAGCTTTGCAACCGAAGCTTCTTTCAATCCATACATAGCTCTATCGCGATCTTTTTCAGGGATGATCAAGCGTAAAGCAGGGAAGAAATCATCGCCTACTTGGTCGCGCCATCGCGACATAAATCGGATGATGATATTTCTTCGTATTTCATGAGGAGAAAGATTATTAGGTCCATGTGGTCCTAATTTTTTGCGTGCAGTGGCTGGACCTGGCTTTTTATTCTTGTTGGCCTCAAGAGGATCGAAGAGTGATTGGAATAATTCATGGAATGGTAATGTTTTTCCATGATTATGAGGACGATTTGGATATCTTATCTTTCATTAGATTTTGATCATATCTAGATGAATTGAATTGTTCAACTTACTTGTCGTTAAGCTCCTCTTTACTAATGGTGCTATGAGCATACTGACGTTCATCATCAGCTATAGCCTCAGCGTCAGGCCTTTTGTTTTTATTCTGTTGACTCGAAGACATGATTCATGATGTTGAGAATAATCAACTCTGAAATGATTGAAAGTTGATGCTTAAGAAGACCTTTTCGATACTCAATGCTTACGGTTGCCTAGCTAAGCGCGAAATTGACAGGCTGTCACGTGAATGTAGTCGTACTTTGCGTATGGCTACTTCTGTACATAAATAGTCTTATTAGGCGGTAGGTGCCAATCTTTACTCATAAAATGTCTACAACTTTCACTGTGATCTCTATTAGAAGTTTTAGTACAGCTTCTCGACTCAATATCCGTATTTGCTATTTTTATCATGAACTTGCAACCCGCTAACCTTACTTTGTCATACACTTGCTTGGAAAATCCTTCTCAATGTGGTACAAAAAAATATGGGTTGATTTACACGTGTAGAAAATACGTGTCGGAGCTTACAAGTGAATGAAAGATTCATGAAGACTACCTACTTAGTGATAGAGTCAAATGAATACTCGCTGTACTGCTTCTAAACTAGGACGTTTGCATTTGTATCCTGAGGAAATGGGCAATCGATACGTGAAGTCAAGCCTTCTAGACTAGTATTCGTGGGAAGTAATTCCAGATACTAATTCCAGATATCTATATCTATTATCCTATCCATCCATCACATTCACATCAAGATTAAAGTTCTCACTTCATAGCTGAATGAGATCATGGCGCCCGGGCTGCTGATATAATAAAATACAAAGGTTCTTGAGAATGAGATTTTTTTTACTATGCATGCGATAAACACTCGATCTTCTTCCTTTTCCTCGGCGATAGTATTAGACTTGAGGATTGAATCCTGTTAAGGTTCAATATAGAATACCATATTTCATCGCGATCCTTTGTACTTTGTCGGTTTCTATGGAGTGCAATCACCTCATCATTCCCGCGAAGACACCTCGCATTTCGGTTTCATAGATGCGTACAGTGTAAGTGTGCCTCTCCATTGAGAGGAAGATGAGTAAAATCATCGGTTCATTGTCTGCATTTTATTAAACAAACAAAGTACACTGTATATTCTTGCAACGCGATACCCTTTAGTGTCCGTTAATGTGCTTTACAAACCAACCACAAGGAGATGTTATACCCTATGTGAATTCGGCTGCGATATGTTTATTTTTCCAGAAAAGAGTGTCGTATATACCTTGGTCTATATGTATTGTTGCAAGACTGCACAACATGTTATGGAATAAATAAATTGAAATCTATGATGGAATCCCATATTAACTCGCCGATGCCACTAGGATGTATTGGTGAAAACGATCAGATATATGATCTAAACATCAACAAATATAGTGCGTGTAATAAAAAAAGACAAAAGAGAGAGTGAGCAAGCACTTCACATCATCTCCGAGCCCCTCGATTCTGCATGAAATCCCCAGACCTCGCCCTTCCCGCACCACTGAAGCCTCCACCCATCCCTCTACCGCCCCAATCCAACACCACGCCTCGAAATCCTAAATACCATCTCCAAAAACACCCAATAAAATATAGCTCCAAACTCTAGTCTCTCTAAAAGCGTCACAAACAAGCGGAAAATACGTGTATCCGCATCCGAAATTCCTACAAGCTTTCCACTGCCGGCATCAACACGGTACACCTCCTCGAGACGAATACGCGAGAATTAGCGGGTCCACAAGTCTACCCCATCCACGACCATCAATCATTATTCATTGAATCAAACAGCTGTTCGGTCCAACGAAACTTCTTTGTAGACGAATATTATTGTGCCTCGATGCTAATTGTGAAAGACTAATCAAGCTTGAAATAGAATTCAGATGTATGAAGGCAGCCCTAGTAGTATCAAAGATCCAGAAAAAGCCCAGATAACCCCCAATGTTGAAATTGAAAACAATACATCTCTTCCGGAATATTCAAGCTAGAAGTATCTGGACATTGATGAGAATAAAAAGTAGTTATGGGTGATTGAGAGGAATTGCGCCGCGTATGAAATACTTCATAGAATGAGGAAAAATCATGAGAAGGAAGAGAGTTTCTCCCGAGTAGGGTTTATATGAAAAGCTTCTTTGTAGTTGAGACGCATTGTTTACACATGTATGTATACTATATTATATTTTGACTCCAAGCATAAGCATCTATGTATATGGGTACGCCCGATATCAGGGAAGAGAAATAAATCCATCTCAACTATTCAAAGCTATACTTACGCGTTCAAGTACCCCCAAAATGCCATGGTAATTTATACACACACAAGAGTAAATACCCCCCCCCCCAAAATGCCAAGTCTCCTAGCCCAACCTATCTCCCTCCAAACATCATATCACTCGCTAAGCTTTCCATCCTCGTCATCTTATCCTCTCTCCCATCAGCAATTTACAATAATGCACCTACACCCGTCTCCAACCAGCCAATCACTCACCCATCTCTTCGACAACTCAACCGACGACGTCACCTCGCCATGGCACTGTGCATCTACCAAACCGTTCCCAACGCACACCTCCATTTTCAAAATCCTCTGGAACGGCGAGTCCCTTAACCCCGTACAATATTCCACCATGCATTTCCAATCGCCAACAGATCAGATCCCTTAACGTATTAAAAACGACCATGTGTTCCAGTTTCAAATACCAGTATCAGGTACCTATATAAACATAACGATTCCCAAGAAACATTGTGAGACTACTACGATAATATTGTGCCCCAACTTGTATTCATATTCAAGCGGACATTCCGCCCGGTTGCGATGGCGATATCGATTATAATGAGTAATATTTGACGTTGTTGGTGACGGCTTATAATCTTACGCAGATGGATAGGAGTTCTGTGAATGGTTTTGCTAGGGTAATTTTTCTCGGGTGTGTTTATCGTAGAGATGAGAGGATGGGAATTTGAAGAGGGGGTTGTGGAGTTGGAGTATAGAGTATAAAAATATACACATCCTTCAATACAATATCAATAAACCCCTTTTTTCCATACCCCCCTCCCCCCCAAAAAACATAAAATTAACAAACATCTAACAACACCACCATTCCGAACAACCCAGACAATACAAACCGACTCCACTCCACTCCAGTCCATCTCCTCCCAATTCCCAACTCCCAACTCCCACTCCAAACACAGATTTCAGATAATACAACAAGTTATAAGTTAGAAGTTAGAAGTTATAATCCAATCATATTGTACCTACCCAGTATCATCACATAACCAACCATACATCAAATACCTAGGTATTTGACACTATATTATCAAATCAAACAATACCCAATCCCTCACCCCTAGCTACCTAGCTAGCTATGTATCTTCAATTACAACATAACACAACACAACACAACACAACACAACCATCCGATCAGATTCGATCCGATCAAATTTCCAACCCTCTCTGCCTCTCTAGGTAGCCACACCAAGCACTCAAAAAAGTACCTAGCCATCTCAAATTCTCAATCTCGCCATCATATCCATCATATTCCCATATCCCCGCATCTCCAAACAAGTACGATTTGCGACTTCGGGAAACCGTGGTAATATCTGGAATCATATTTCTTTAACCCTTTCGGCTAATGTTGTATATCTACCTATGTACTACCTAGGTAGGTATATGTAAACTGGGAATTACTATTCTCGGAGTGGAAGGATTTATTCGTATCTCATTTCATAAGTATATATGTTCTTGCGAAGAGCAATCATGTTGATACTTGTACGTGGTTGTCTTTGTAACCCTCGAGTTCTTGAGTAGAGTTTGCAAAGCTAAAGTTGAATTATTTGAATTATTTAGTAGAGGTATATTGTTGTCAACTCATGTTTTGATTTGTGTTACTATCCTCATTGTGTGTATATAACACTATTTATAATTTTACACCGAGGTATGAGCAAAATCAAGAGTTGAATGAAGACTTGAGAGCTCAACCAAAAGACGACATATATCACGTGAGAGATCATCACGAGGACATTCTTCAACGTCAGTTGTTCATCTGCTCTAAGCCCCCAACCTTTACACAACTCTGATTGGCAATACCAGTCTGCACACAGCCTCGACAGCTTAATCACGACGACCATCCCCCATTCTCCAAACGGTAAGCAGGCCAGTTCACGAGGACCTTTCGAACCCCAGATTCTCGCACTAAGTCGGTCCTAGCCGATCCACGAGATAAGCAATGCGAGGATCTTGGCATGCCAGTACCGACACGATCGTGAAATGCCTTATCTGCCAATTGCCATCTCTTCTTGATCCTGTATAGAGATTGGGAATGCGGACTGCGGAATGTAACCAAAGAGGTTTCTGGTGCGACGCAGGAAAATGAGCTATCACGTTCCTCTGGGCATACTGGACCATCACACCTGGGCAGAAATGCAACGATCGTCGATTTGCACATTATATTTCCGACGAGGCGAGATGCGAAGGTAATTTTTGAAATGTCATGCTTCTTCGAGAACAAATGAGGAAGTTCGAAGTTGCTTGGTACCTGGAAAGTGGATCATCTTGGACATTTTCTGTCCTATCATATCTTATTGATAACAGTATTCCCTAAGCATACACTTGCAGGAGCCTCTTCAGCTCTTTTGGCGTTTTGGGACGGAAAGGATGAATGTGATATCGTGGGGAAGAAGGGAAAAGTCTGACATGCCATTTGTTGTAAGCAGAACATTTTTGATTACTTTGATTGCTCTAAACTTTCCAAGGGTAATCCATGGGGAAGTGAGTCAGAAAGCTCTGCTGATCCCAACTTAAGCCTTTTTCAAAAGACCCTTGGTTTTGCATGTTTGTGGGCTCGTGGAGTCGTGGGTTTGTATCTTGACGGAAATGAAAACCATGCGGCAGGATTGTATTTGGGAGTTGTGAGGCTATCCTTAGTCGAATTTGTATGAGATGTGGAGAATCTCAAGTTTCCCCGTACAGGATGCCGGAAAATCAGCATCTTTATCCTTGATACTACAAGGGTTATGACTTTCTTAACTGCGATTTAATCATGTAACTGCAAAACTTTGGAAGCTGCTTGAAAATTTTAAATCAATTACAAACAAGGGCAAGGAAAGATATCCTTCCAAAATCAGACCATATCCCCAAAATAATCAAAGAGAAAAAAAAAACTGTCAAGAAAAAGGGACCTCGGTCGGAAATGATTGATTGATGATTGAACTTTTGTTGAATTTCAATTTCGGGTAATTATTTCGTGCAGTAAAAAAACTCTTACGCCCAACAGGCGCGACAACCTAACCATGAAAATGATGAAACAAATTAAAAGATCAGAAAAAAATCAACATAGCGGATCAGTTTGACTGACGTGGCCAAAGAGTTTTCTCGTGATAGGGAAGGAAACAACCAAAATGCAGATAAAAGACATTTTGATGAAGCATGAAGGATTTCATGACCCACAGGACCACATTGAACAAAAAAAATCGTCCAAACGCCCAAGAACCCAAGAACCCAAGATGCACCAATGTCAGTTACCAATATACCAATGTATCATTGTACATGATGTTCCTAGGTAGGTATCCATCCGGCAATTTCGTTGTCGCGGCAGCACAGCATTCAATTTCACTTCAGCTCATACAACAGGAAGGTGGATCTAGGGCGAGATTGACTCCTTCTCTTTCTGCGTATTCTGTACAGTAGTAGTACAGTAGTGAGAAATCAATTGATAGGACAATAAATGGCTTGGTACAAACACAGATACAACAGGATGGATGAACACCTCCAAAGTGGTTACCGGCTGAGATTTGAGTGAGATTGAATAGATTGATATTCATATCCATATGCACACCCATCCACCTCCAAGCTGTGTATCCGGACTTCCGGCCAAGTTCATGAATAAGAATGATGCAGTTAGTATCACACACCTCGTAGTGCGTCCCTATGTATAGGAGAGGAGTAGCGAGAAGTAGGTAACATATGAAGTACAGACTAAGTACATACTTAAGGCAGGTACTGTAGTACATAACGTAACTCTTATTTCTCTCAAAGGACGAGCTGAGCCAAAGAGAAGAAGAAGATTATCCAAAGAGAAGGTCGGCTCATCACAGACTCACATCACAGTACACAGTACAAGACGAATAACTCGACAACGACACGCACGCATGGAAGAACAATGAGCATATAATCAATCATGTGATTCTGAATGATATAATAATGATGCTGATTAAATTCTTAGGCGAATGTAGGAAAGTATAATAAATTGGCCGATACAGTACTCCATAACCGTTGAAGAAAAAATCACCATATTAGGAAAAAGAAGTGTGTGACTTGTGAGTATTCCGTAAGCTGTGACGGATACAGATCCAGCTGATACAGATGTTATCTTGATTCTCCACATGCCAAAATAAAACAACTTCATCATCCTTTCACCTCACCCTGGCAAAGTAATGAGCTACAGTCCCTTCGTAAGCCTTCTCGAAGGAAGTTCCTCCAGGCGTTCAAGGATGTCTGTATGGAAAAGATGGGTTGAAAAAGAATGGATCAGGGTCGCTCTTGCTTTGCATATTATCCGAATTGTTACCATATATGTGATACGGAAGAGAGTCGAATGCAGTAAAGTAAGTGAGTAAAAGTAAGTATGTACAATAGAATAGAATAGAATACAATACAATATAATACAATACAATACAATACAATACAATACAATACAATACAATACAATACAATACAATACAATACAATACAATACAATACAATACAATACAATACAATACAATACAATACAATACAATACAATACAATACAATACAATACAATACAATACAATACAATACAATACAATACAATACAATACAATACAATACAATACAATACAATACAATACAATACAATACACCACACAACAGCACAGCAGAGCCATGTGTTGATAATTCATTGCTGCAAATACAAACAGATAAACGAATGAGAACTTCCTTTCCTTTTTCCTCTCCTCTCCCTTTATCATTATTGGAGAAGACAGGAAGAAAAGGAAAGCAACGCTCTCTTACTCGAGTACCGAGATATGGATTTCCATGATTTAACTTTCTAATCTAATCTGTTCTGTCCAATCTTCTTAGCTTTGATTGCTTCCAAGCCTCGAATTGGGTAGATCCATTGACAACAATTGACGTACTTTCGCACTTGATCGTTTCTCAATGCCCAAAAGCTTATCCGATCTGCATACTAGTGACCATTAGATAGTAAACACAAGAGGATAGCGAGGATAGTTTATTACTCCAGATTTCCCTCCCTTTAGAGCTGATACTAAATGTCATGAAAGTCTCCAGTCAATCGATCAATCAATCAGTCAAGTCAGTCTCAGTCTCAGTCAAACAGTCAGTCAATCAATCAATCAATCAGTCTGTTAGTCAGTCAGTCAGACAAGTCAAATCTACTCCGTACTTACTAGTCATCTAAAAGTAGCCAAGTAGATTCATCATCATCATCATCATTATCATCGCTTATCTCCTCCCTTCGCTTCCTGCCTTCCTGCCTTCTCTCCTTCCTAGCTTATCTTTTAATAAGGCTATCGGCCCCTTCCTCAAAAGTCATTCTTCCAAAGTTACAAACTTACGACCTACCGGTATCTTAGCCTTCATTTTAAAGTGCCTACCTAAGTACCTAGTGATTCACTTCAAAATCAGCTTGAACTATCTCTGTCGATTGACTTCTGCTTAATAAACATATCTACATTCATTTCCTTCTCGTTCTCCCCTGTTCTCATCTCAATACACTCTCAACACACCTTTGGTAAATTAAAAGGTTGAATTCATTACACTCCTTCTCTATCAAATCGACCATATAACTACTATATAGTAGTATCACTTCCTTTGGTGTTATCATACCAACATCCACATCCTACCCGTTATCCCGACAATCATATCATGATAAGCTCTTGAATCACCGTACAATCCAAGTACTGCGATCATTGACTTTCAGTATTGTCCATTTGGAAATTATGCAAAACAGCTCGATATCCCTTCCGATAAGATTTTATAAATTGTTTTCCATTCAGAATTCTTCCTACTTTTCCAAGAACGAATCCGTTGACGTATTATTCAAATCCCGACAAATCTGGTTTCTATCAAGTAATAAATACACACAACTGGTTTATGCGGTAACTCTCAGGGCACGCGAGCAACAAGATGCCTACCTCATTCTCATTATTCACAACACAAAAGCCGAAATCGAAACCTTCGACTTCAACTCCAGCTTCTTCTTCTACCAACCCAAATTCCAATCTCAGTTATGAACAAACCTCAGATATCATGCCAAAGTCAACTTTCGGTACTGATGTTACGACCACATTTACGTCTTCGCCAGTGGTGATTCCTACAAGAAGTCACCACGATAGTTTCAAAAATGGTTTAGGATTCGAGCCAAGGAAGGATCGTCGTCAAACTACCAAAAATCACTCGGTGCGATCGAGTCGTCGCCCCTACGATGCCCATTCGCCGGATGCTATTCCTCCCTCGGTCGCTGCCTTGTTGGCGATTACGGCCATTCCGCCTCCCAGATCAAATAGGAATGCTCGCACACATGGTATATCAAGACAAAGATTGACAGTGGATGCTATATTAAAACATACTGCTGTATCGGAAAAAGAACTTAGTATAACATTTGGTATGAGTCCCATGGAATTATTGTTGAGTCCTCCAGAAGAAACCGATTCGACCGATTGTTACAGTTCGGAGAATGGTCCGGGATCAGTCATATCAAGTAGGACTACATCCAGCGAGTCTGTACCATCTTTGGACGATGCTTCCCTTAGTGATGCATCAACTCCACCAGGCTCAATATTAACACCGAGTTCAAGAGGGCGAAGGTCTCTACCAACCAGGAGGTATCAGCCAACATTTGCAGGCGAGGATACTCTGCACGACCATCCTTTATCAGATGTCGATGTTGAAGAGCTTGACTTTAGAGTCTTTCAGAGACCATCCGATTTACCCAAGGATCAACAGAATACCACCGGCGTCGAACCCCCACGCCGCAAGTCCGCGTTTAAATCAAATTTAACTGCATCACTGCGTGCTTTAAGGTCTGCGGCAAAATCATTTTCGAGTCTCACAACACCTATGATTACGCCTGATGATTTTCTTACAAGATCTATCATGTCAATTGACCCGAAGGTCCCATTTACGGATGAAAGGATGCCACCTTTGCTGGTTGATGCACCCACTCCAGCACTACGTCGGTATCTTAACCCCACAACAAATGCTCCCACGGATGCTCATGTGCCAACATCTCTTACCCAAACAATGAGTGCTACACAATGCACAGCATCTATTCAAATGCAAACATACAAGGTTTCCAAGTCATCAAAAGATACGCCACCAACCGGACTCAATAGACGCAGACAAGGAAATTCCGAGGAAGCCTTTGCCGAGGTCGCGACCGGCCCAGTCGCACGTCAACGCGACATGAGGGAGAACAGTGATTTTATTCGAATTGCAGTTATGGAAATGGCCATGAGGAAAAATGGGAAATTGGACGACCGCAAACCAGGAAGAGCAAGATGGGCTCTACCACCCAGACAAGCATCCAGCAAGCCTTACGAAATTGGAAACGATGGAGTTCCTCTTCGATGGACTGCAATTACTTATTAAACAGAATTAGATATTCACATCATCTACCTGGCACAATTCATGCGACACCTTCTTCGACTAGATTTAGCTTCTCAAGACTTTACTATTTTAGTGGCATTGGACTGGTTCAAACTTAATGATTCATGAGTTCCGACGGACGGATCTCAAGCGGTACTTACCTACGCTTCATTACCGGATACACCTCTTTTCATATACCGAGTTCCGACCTTCTAGAACCACACTGGTCCCACATGTTCGGATTCCCCCGATCTGTCTATGGGTGGGTGTATCCGCCCCATTGATTGATTCAATTTATCCACTTTTACCCTGGAGCACGAAAAAAGGCTGTTCGCACGATGACACATGAAATCTTGGGTGTTTTGCTTTCGATTGAAAATTTTATCAGTCGGTAGAGGAATTCCGACTACAAATTTTTACTTGGCATTGTGATGGACTGGCTTTTACCCAGTATATTACATATTTGGTCAAACAATCGAATAGCAGCTTTTGGTTTGAAATTTCCCTGGACTGGAAGGACTGTCAGATCGACGGTCGCAGATGGCTGTCGAATATCATGTGTATGGCTGGAGTTGAAGATTCTCTAGTACTGACTGGTATGACATGGCATGGTGAAGAAAGCCAGGTTCAAGCAGATCCTTTACAAAAAGGAAGAGAAAAAAATGGAATTGAGATGGCGGGTAAAGTCGGAGTGGTCTGATGATTCTTTGGACAGGTTAATAACCCTAGTGATGAGGAGATGGGAATTTTCGAAATCCAGTTGTGCGGGCGGAAATGCAGGTCCAAAAGACAAGGACCCACTGCTATTATCTCATCCCACATGCGAGAATGAAACTTGTTATGCACCTAGGGTCCGCAGGCGTGGTTCTGCATACCAATTACGAAATACAAATGCGAGTGTTAATTAGCGGTGGCGGATGAATAACTTTCATTTACGACTGATTATTTTATGAATACATTGGAGGAGTTTGGGATTTGAACTTTTCATACATTGGGCTGCGATAGCGATAGCGAGTGAGCGGTTTAAAGGAGTTTTCATTAGAAACGGCTCGTCCAATACGACTTGGGTTGTTTTATTACTTTTCTTTACATTGGAGTTATATATGGATTGGGGTTTCAGATGAGGGAGGGATTGATGGATGGATGGCTAGGGCATTGGGACGAGTTTGACATTATACTGGCTGGAAATTTTCCAATACCTACCCTGGTGGAATGGGAGGAAATAGAATATAAGAATATGAAGAGAAATCGAAGATACAAACAATACTTCTTGGGTACTTACGTGATAACCACGCAAGCTTAATTATGAGAATCATTGTGAATGAATGGATGTATTTATGTGTGAAGAAAAATACTGTAGAAGTGGTGATATTGTCGTTTCCAGAAATCCAGCTGATTGTGCCCAGCCTACCAACTTGGAATGGAAATCGTTCTTGGTGTCTGAAGATACTGCATCTGATGAAATGCTTCGTCTATATCAAATCATGGATACATAGATAAGTAATCAAACATGCAGACCAGTAGTACGTAGAAGAAGATTAGATGAGATGCACATCAGCATGAACTTAATAAACAATCATTCATTCCCTAATTATTTATAAAGCCATTACAAAATTGATAAATGGATTCACTCACTCAGAAGAATATCGCAAAGTAATTTCGAGTTGTTGTTGTTGATGTTTATTTTAGATATAAAATTGTTTTCTTTTTTCCCCCATAGGGCTGATTGGTGAGGAATGGAAGGAAGTATTTCTTTCAACCTGCCATCGTTAATCTATTTTTAGGCTTGGTAAACTGAGCTTAGGGTATGCTTTCATGCTACTATGATACTACAATGCGGCGTCTGAGCTGCGGGCCATGCCTAGCTTTAGTGCCTGGAACCAATAATTAGCTAGACCCGGATGGCTGCAAACGTGGATGGAAGAAAGTTTAATATCTAGATCTCCTATTAGGGTGCATGAGGACATATAATACCTGCATTTTGCAAAAGTTTATTGCGACGGTGATTGATTATTTGATTATGAGGAGGATTGCTGTATTCACTTTGTTGCTTTTTTAACGGGGACGATTAAATAATCGAATTGATTGTCAGGTTCTGATTCTGATGGGTGTGCAATTGATGGAATATTCGGTTTGACATGTCTCATAAGCAATGATCTTATGACGGGATTATCAAAGGACTCCACTATACGCCGAATACTACAATACGTATGGTAGAGGTCGATACGAGTACCTTACATACCTATTCCTACCTACCTACCAGTTTATCTTTAATTGCCGGATTGTAACATTCACGAAACCTTGAGCCGCAAAATACCTTGCATCCGTATCCGTCCCAAATGATCTCGAAATATCAATTCTTTGCGTCGCGGGCTTTACCAATGAAGGGTGCATTCTAGCATTGCATTGCAATATGATAGGAGAGGATATCAGTTGGATAGTTCGCAGTGACTGGTACCATGGCTACAATGGCAGACGCGAATTTAGATGGTAAGGGTAGTACGACTCCGGGAAGGATTACTCGGCCGGAAACTGCGGGCGCGAAGAATACACACTCTGATACCACGTCGACATCTGCCCCTGGGAATTCAACATCAGCATCGGCGTCGGCTTCGGCTTCGACTTCAACTTTGCATTCTAATTCGAGTACGACGACATCTTCTCCACAGCGAATTAATATAAACTATAATCCGAGTACAAATTCGCTTCGAAATATAAATACGGGAGGAGCGGGGATCGAAACGGGAAACGGGGAGAGGAACGGGCGCAGCGCAGAGTGCGGCATTGACGGGTGCGGCGCTGGCTTTTTCGAATGCGAAGGGCAAGTTGACGCCGGTGGTGCCGAATAAGTTTGCGGGTAAAACACAATGGGAGGGAATGGTTTTGGGGGGGAGAGATGGCGCATTGGCGGCTGCTACGAAGGCGGGGGTTGGAGGGGGGAGGGTCCCCTAATAATGGAGGAGGGAGAGCGAGAAGTCCGTCTAAGGTTTCGGTGATGGATGCGGGGATGGGAGGTGGACAGCAGATATATGGATATCAAAAAGTAGGGAGGGAAAGGACAGGGGAGAGTGAAACGGATGGGGGGAGTGTTAGTGGAGGACCGGAATATCGAGGAGGACAGAGAATGCCTCAAAACCGAAATCAAAGACCGAATGGACATTTACTTCCCCCATTTTCGGGTGTATCGGAAACCAGTCCGAAGGTGAAAAATAATTCGGCGGCATTTATGGCGGCTAATTTGGCGGCAAAGAGAAGTCGGGAAAGTAGCCCGAATCACACGGGTCAAAATTATGGGATCGGAATAGGGAAACAGGCAAGTCCATTGCCGAGTAGAAGACAGAGTTATGCGAGTTCGATTGATAGTACGGATAGGAGAGTGGATCTATCGAGTATTCCTCCTACGTCTAATTTGGTGGAGATGTGGGAGCAGCCGGATAAGGGAGTGAAGAAGGGAGGAGGGCTTGTGAGTAATAGGGGAAACGAGATTGTGAATAGACAGGATCAGAAAAGACCTGCTTCGAGTCATGCGCCTATACCTGTTTTGAAACCGGCAGGGCTGGCCAGACCGGTTTCTTCTCATGCTTCGGAGTCCTCAGTGAAACCTCGAATTGCTTCTGAGCAAGCCACTATTTCTGAGCAAATCAAGTCGAAGTCGAAGCCTGTGGTACATCCACGACCTCCTTCTTCGCAAGCTTCAGTGTCTGGGCCCTCAAAATCTGACGTACAGCCTCGACCCGTTTCCTCCCATACTACTAGTTCCGAAGGTCCAAAACCATCTCCTAAACCTCTAGCGCAGAAGCCTGTCATACACAATACTCGGCCTGCTTCTTCTCATGGCCCAACACCTGATCTTTCTACAAAACCTTCAATGCAAAAACCCTCCCAGCCAGTTTCTTCTCACGGACCCGTACCTGTGAAACCGTCAGTAAAACCCTCGCTACAATCTATTCGACCTACGTCCTCTCATACTTCGGAATCTACTGAACCATCCTCGAAGGCTTCGATAAAAAAGCCCTCTTTACCGCCCCCACGACGCACGCCTGCTAATCTCTCTGCATCGGGAGATCAATCGACAAATCTTCCCATGCATGCACCTCAGCCACGTTCAATGCAATCTCCTATATTGACAACAGCTCACAGAACTGAACCAACCTCGGAATCTTCCAATCAACCATCAAGGCATCCTTCTACCACAAAAACTCCTCGTAGATCCTCTAAACCCATACCGCTGTCTAGAAAACCAGTGTCTAGTCAATCCTACAATAACGATGCTGACGATGATGGATCCTCGGACGATTCATTCGTATCTGCATCCTCTCAACCTAAACCCAAATCTCCCTCCTTGCGTGCAAAAATAGCAGAGCAAAAACGACTTCAGTCGTCCAATTACGCCCCGAGCATGACTGCCGAAACTCTTTCCAATGCTATGGTAGCTGGATACCTTGCTTCATCACGTGCTTCCACTCCTTCTATATCTTCCGGAGTTATTCAACCTCCAGCTCCTCCTCCCCCTCGACGACTCAAGAAACTTTTCCAATCCGATCACTCGAGAACGCCTACACCCCCTCAGAGCACTTTATCAGCAAATGGAGTTCCGACTATGAAAACTACAATGCGGAAACCGAAAACGGAGAAAGAATTGAGGGAAGAAGAAGGAGAAGGGGAACGGAGAAGGGCTAAGAAACACTTGGTCAAGAAACATCCGAATAAACATGACGAGGGAAACCGAAAGAGGTGGAGAGATGAAATTACGGAGAAAGAAAGAAAAAGATATGAAGCGCTCTGGGCGAGTAATAAAGGTCTTTTCCCCTACACGATAGATCATCGTGGGGAAATGGTGGAAATTGAAGGCGCGGCGGATACGGTGCCGGGAATGGTGGTGAAAGATCTGTGGGAGAGGAGTAGATTGGGTGGAGATGTGTTGGAGGAGGCTTGGGAGTTGGTCCATGGGAAAGGATATTGGGGACGTCAGAAAGAAAAGCGATATGGCAGGTTGGAGAGAGATGAATTTGTGGTGGGTTTGTGGCTGATTGATCAGAGGTTGAAGGGGAGGAAGTTGCCCGCGAGGGTTAATCATAGTATTTGGGCGAGTGCGTCGTGATGGGTGGGGGATTAGCATGCAGATTGATTGATTGGTGGATTGATGGATTGATGGATGGGTTGGGTAAAAGATGGATTGGATTGAGTTACTTGAGCATGAGATATATGCTTGTGGGTATTCAGGAAGCTAGATAATAGGGACGCGGGGGTTAATAGAGTAAGAGGAGGAGAAGATTGGAAATCCTAAGAATAGCTCGCTCGCGCGAAGAGGGGGGTGTACATAGATAGAGTGGATTAGATCAGACTTGGATATTTGATTCGGTTGGGTTGATGTATTATATGGGTGAAGATGAGATTGTGTTGCGTGGCATTAGATTGAATGAGATCGAATGAGATTGGATTGGACTAATTGGATTATGGGATTATAGAATTAAGCTTGATACCTCCGCAGCGATGCTTAATTAGTATGTATGTATATAGCGAGATTGATGAGGGTAATTAATGCGTGGTATGGATTGGAATCAAATCCTGAATCTGATTTAGTCCGTGAGCACTACACTGCATTGCATTGAATATACGATTATAAGATTGACGATTACTATTATATCGAGTGAATGGATAAATAGAAGGATAGAAGGATAGATATAAACCCTAAACCACACCCATCACCCCCGCTTCGCATTCCCAACCCCTACTCCTCTCCACATACACCCACCCCACAAACCTCACACATCCCCTTCAGCACCACTCACAATCATGCGCTCACACCACTCCCACAACTCGGCACCCCGTCCCGCGTCCATCGCCGCGTAGATGTCTGCGTGCGGATGGCGATGGCGCGGCTGAATGCGTCCCCAGGGAATAATATACGCGCCTTGGTGTTGCGAGGTGAGGGGACTGAGTCCGGCGAAGAGCTCAGTGTAGGCACCGAGTTTGGCGGGGTGCAGGAGCAGGTTGATGAAGAATTTTGTGAGGGCCGGTTGCGTGCGGTAGGCTTGCGTTTGGAGGTTGCCCGGGTTTTGGATGAGCTGGGGGGTGGGGGAGGGGTGTTAGTTGAGGGTTGGGGGTTGGGGGAGGGATTTTGTGGGATGGGATGGTCGAGATGAGATGAGATGAGATGGGATGATGGAGAAAAGGATAGAAAAAAATATACATACACTTAAAATCCCCTCTCCTCCCCACCTTTTCCCCGCCTCAACCCCCATCATCCACCCCGCCGCCCTCGAAACCGCATAATCCACATACTCATTCCCACACCCCCCCCTCTCCAAATCTTGCATGCAAACACCCCCCTCAGGACTCTTCCCCTCGGCCATCCAACTCGTCGTCCACACAATCCTCACACTATTCTCCACACTCCCCCTCACCGCATTCCTCAAACAACCCAGCAGCATGCGCGTGAAATAATATGTCCCCACCACATTCACCCCCATATGACCCTCTATGCCCTGTTTCGTTTTCGTCCCCGGCGGCAATCCCCCTATCCCGGCATTATTCCACAGCACGTCGAGTTTTTCCTCGCGCGAGGAACATCTCAGCCGCGGTGCGGATGCTGTGGAAATCCATGAGGTCGAGTGGGAGGAAGACGAGATTTTCCGCGCGGGCAGGATCGCAGGCGGTGATTTCGGCGATGGCGGTGTGGGCGGAAGAGGAGCTGCGACTGCCCATGCAGATGGTGGCGTCGGTTGGGTAGAGCATTTTGATGAGCTCGTAGCCGACGCCTTGGTTGCCGCCGGTGACGAGGAAGACTTTGCCTTTTTGGGAGGGGAGGTCTTTTTCGGTGAAGAGGGGGGCGGGGGGGAAATATTGCGTGAGCATGGAGGTGAAGGCCATGTTGGAGTAGATGGATGAGAGATTGGCGGGAGGGATTTTGTGTTTTGGGGATTTTGTGTCTTGGGGAAATTGAGTTTGGGTGTTTGAGAAGAGAGAATAGGAAAAGTTTCTTTTCGTGAATGAAAGATTGAATGAATGAATGAAATGTGAGTTAGATATTTGTACTAATTGCAAACCAACATGTTGGTATTTGACTGTTTGCTGACACGCATACCCAGGTAATCTTACATCAACTCCATCTCCAACATCTTGGTATATTATTCCACTTAGAACGCAGTTTAGATGATTTACCAAAGCAAAGCTCGATGAGAAACTTCCACATTATGTTATTTTCTGCAAACCGAAGCTGCTACACAACAAAATAACCGTTTCTAAACTTCTTAAGAGAAAAAAAAACCTCCTAAAACTTGATATATCAAATACTTCACTTCATTTTGACTCTTACTCCTGGACTTCCAGTTTTCTCCCTCGTTGTGAGTGGTTCGAAGTAGCAATCTATATACAAATTCCCAATCTCATTCAAAGCGAAATTGAAGCTTCTAAACATCGTAGTAATAGAGTGCTCCAGTTTTGCACGAGGTAGCTGTATAAATACACATACTCGTGGTCTTTCTCTGTAGAACATGCCATATCGCTTGCTATCTCTTGACATTGGGGCCTTTGAGACCGGTGCTCAAGGATGAAGAAAAAGCCAGAGGGAAACACACACTCACCGTCTGGAAGAAATAACCAGGGCACTATTTTGCGCTTGCGGTGGCGTTCATGATTCATCAATCCAAAAACCGTCCCGATATTTCCATTCCAAGCTGATAAATACTCAAGATAGCCTAGTTTACCGATATGACGTCCATGAGACTACACGACTTCGTAGTATCACGGTTATGAATATAGATCTCTTGAGAGTTTAGAGGAATGATTGATCTTGCGAAACATGCCAGCTTGGATTGGCGATCATATTCGTTCGGATCTACCATAGATTCTGTGCGGAGCTACTTTGACTTGGTACTGGAAGTTGATATTTAAACGATATACTCACTCACACTCAAATACCAACCTTCCACATATAAAACAGATTAACAAACAACCTCACCACCTCACCATCTGACACATCTCCTCCATAACTATCCGAGTTTATACCCCTATTCACATATCCATGAATTACCTAGATACACATACCTAGATACCTAGATATATACCCCAACACCATAAAGCATACTATACATACCATATTATATCCGTAATAGTAATAGTAATTTAGTCCACATAGAACTTAATACATGTAATACAGATCATCTATACAGACCATCTATACAAATCACCCAACCCAATTCAATCCAACCCCCCTCAGTTTCTCTCCTCTAATCATCTACAAACCTTACAACTTCGCATCGTAATCTTTATATCGCAAAACTAATGCGTGATGACTCATATACCCAAGAGATGAACTTTCACTACCAGTAGTCCGAAAAACAAAATGAAAGCAAAGATGAAAACCCTGTGTTTCACTGATAAAAGTAAGATATTGATACTGGTATTGATATCTATATCTATATCTAATTCCCATTTCTCCTCTTCCATGATATCATCATCTCATCTAAGAACAAGTAAGTTATTACTACCTTGTCATTTCGTTTCATTCATTTCCATCTTCTCATCTTCCAAAGCCAACCCAACCAGCCAGTTAGCCAAGCAGCAAGCCAATGCCAAAAATATGCAACAACTAGAACGCCACTGCAATGCTATTAATCCCGTTCAACACCCACTCCCAAATTTATGCTTTTGATCCCATCCCATCCCATCCCATCCACGCACACCATATAATAATTAGCCCACTAGGAAATAAACCTTAATCTCAATCTCGACGCGAGATTCATGCAACTACCGCACCGCTCTGAAACCTCATTCCCAATACCCAACTACCCTCAAACTCCACTCCTCTTCTGACTCTCGTACCAGCTTTCTTCCAAACCGCCATCCCAAGTCCAATATCCGCAACGAAAAGTTGCCATTCCCCACTCGCTTTCGCGTTTGCACTTGTAATTCCTAATCCTGATTTCTCCTCGTCACCAACTCCCTCACCCATACTCATTGCTTCTAATAGACCTTTCTTAGGTGCTCCCATTGCAACGACATATCTCGCGTGGATGTATAATTTTCGTCCATCAATTACACTGACCTTTCCACTCGTGGGATCAATGCCCGTAGGAACATCAATGGCGAGAACCGATGCTTTACTTCGGTTGGCCCATTCAATGAGTTCGTAAGCTGCAGCCTGATCACCTGTTCGTAATTCTTCGAATGACATTGTGAGACCAAGAAGACCATCTATAATGAGATCGATAGGTGCGCCTGATGTTTTAATGAAATCAAGAAGTTCGGTCTTGGTAAAAACTTTACCACCAAAACTGCGGAAAACTTTGATTTGACATCTAAGCCCAACTAAAAGTTCGGAATCACGTTCAAGACCGAGGACGCAAACCACAACGTTAAGACCGTGATTTCGGAGATGTCGACCTGCTGCTACAGCTCGGAGTCCACTCTTATTGTTCCCGGCGAAGACTATAACCGTTGGAACAGTAGACTTCTTGCCTTGGGTCAAACCACGACCTCCAGTGTTCACAGCCGACAATCCAACTTCAGCAATACCACGACCTGCATTCTCAGTCATCATGTCTTCGGTGAGGCCAAGTTCAGCATCTGCGATATTCTCCAGGTTAAGCATCTGTAGCGCAGAGATAGGCTCACATCGACGATCTGAAGGAACAAGATACAACATAGGCTTTGACGGCGCCACTGAAATATTTCGTGATGGTTGGGAGCTTGGAACAGTACTTCCTTTCCGTGAAATAGGTCTGTGATGGTTGGCTATTTTATTCTCTGGTCTTCGTGCACGAGAGTTTCTACCACTCCCTGAACCTCTCTGACTACTTATTTCTTGGATGTCGGTATCATCAGCGTCACTCTTCCAAAGTTCGGGAGCCTTTGTCGCACCGTTTGGCGTATCCAAAACATTCTCGGTAGGATGAAGATTCTTTCCCCCATACGTTCCGGGCTTTGCCTTGGGTAAGCGATTGTGTCCGACTAGGCGGTCTGATTCTGCTATAGCGTCCTCAGCCTGCATTTGGTTGAAAACAGATTTCTTGTCAAATTTTGCCAAACTACCAGCAAAGTCAAAATCTCCCATCTCTTGCACGTCGGTTGCTTCTTCAGTAGCCCATCCGTTCTCGTCCATATTCCTGTTACCCCTTCTTTGAGACTTTTTCAGGGTTGCAAATGGTTGAAATGAAGTGACCGGTTCCAGCAAAGGAGTTTGTCTCCAACCTTTTGATCCGGGGGTATTTTTGGAAGGGCCAACGATTGGCTCCTGGAAGACACGTTCTACAGGCTTCTTTCCTTGGTTCTTTCTCCTGCGAGTTCGTTGTCGTCCTGATTTGGTCAAAGCGGGCTCTACCGACAATCCAGCTAGTTCTGTATCGAGTTCTTCCAAAATCTCCGCTTCTTTATGCTCTAGTTCCGCCTGATCGTGTATTTCCTGACTTGTCAAACTATCGGGCAAGGTGGATGAAGTATTCTGTTCTTTGCGCCTATTCTCACGACCAACAACAGTTCGGGCTGAACCATCGCGTTCCATCGAAGCACTCTCCAATTGAGAATACGATGGAATCGATGCTGCAGGAGAAGCTACCGATCCCGGCCTCCTTCCCATGCTCAGAATCGCCGGATCCTCAAACTTTTTCGCAACCGACGCAGGTACAACCGCTGGCTTCTGTTGTATAACCGGAGAGGGCGGCTTGACATTTTCATTCCGAGCCTCAATCAATTCCGTAATTTCCGCCGCGTTAATTGTAAACTCAGGGACATATTTGCCGTTAGATGGGCATGTAACTATGAGGCACTTCTTGTTAGCTAATGCAATGAAATCGTTTGCTAACGTTACGTGAGCACCAACCTTCTCGTAAAGTCAAGCTTTTACCCGGTTCGATACTACTGACGATACCTCGCAATTGTGCACCAGGTGGAGAACTTAACGTCACCAACATGGTAAGCCCAATAAATTGGTTCGACATGTTGGGTTTCGTTTCTTTGGCAGTTCACCACTGGCTGGGAAGAAAGTTTCGTGATATGCAGTAAGAGATGGATGGTGGTATAAGCGCGTAGTTTTGGGTAAATAGCTCTCAATGAATGAAGATAGAGAGAATTATTGGTGGAATGATGATTCGAAATGGGTGCAATGGGTGTAAGAGAAAGTGTTTCTCGTGAAACAAACTTGACAAACTTGACAGCTTTGTTAATTTTTCTTTCTGATGGTTGGGAGTTTACAAGGGTAGGTAATAGCGAGGCGCGAGGTGAGACAAAAAAGTATATCGGGTTTTAGAGCTAGTGATAATAATCGCCGCCTCAAGATATCATCCCCGCCGCCTTATCGATAGATAGATAGGTAGCGCGGGGTGAATTTCAAGGTTTGTTAGGAAGGTCTCGTTGTAGATCCTACAAGACGGACGAAACGTACTCACTGGGCAATCAATCAAGTCATCAATATACCTAGGCAGGTATGTGCCTAGTAGGTACAACAAGAAAGAGCGTCATTATCACCAGATCTATTTGAATATACTCGTGGGCGATACTTTTGATGATGATTTAATCATCTTAAGAAGTACTAGGTAGATATATGGTGAGGTGGTGCACAGAGAGTAGGTAGGTATGTATTACAACATGAGAGACATTTTCGACATTACATATCCCGAGCATTCCTTGAAGTATAAACATTCCATGGGTGGTAAGGAGGTGATGGTGTGGATTCAGTTTGTATTAGCTATTTTACAAGAAGTCCTTGTAATTTGTTCGTAAGTAAATTTAATACACATGGAGATGGAGGGTATAACTCGTACTCGTCTTTTCATCCCATACTTAACAATGGCGCCGTGCAAAGTCAATCCCGTTTTTGCGGGTTCAATACCTATTCATAGATCGCCTACCATATAACCCTTACAGCTCAATCGAGCAAATCTAAGCAAATTCCAGTGACTCCTGCAACACCCCGAAATCTACCGGCATTATTCTCATAGATGCCCGCCACTTCTGAATTGGCGTGCCATCTCTTCCTCGTCCTCGTCGAAGAAATTGTCGTCTTGCAATGGCTTGATGGGTTTCGTTGGTATCTTTGGCGGATCTGCTTTCGCAACTCTTGGGTGTGCCAAAGCTTTGTTGACGCTATACAAGCTGTTGTAAAATTCTGCAACCCTTGGGTGGGCCATAACTTTCTTTGGATCGAAATTCTGAACCTCCAAGCCAGCCTGACTTGTTGCCCGACTCAACGCAACATAAGCTTGGCCGTTCTCGAACACTCTTTTCAAGTCAATCTTGACACGCTCCAGGGTTTGCCCTTGTGCTTTATGAATGGAAAGTGCCCAGGCAAGAATAAGAGGAAGTTGGCTGCGCTGCGCCTGGACCTCTCCGTTAGGAAGTTCAATCTTCCAATCCTCTGGCTGAACAAGAAGGTCTCTTACAGTTCCATCTGGGATAGAAAATCGCACCAATGGAAACAGTCTTCCATGATTGGAGACGCCAGTAATAGGTAGCTCCTTGTTAGTCTGTTTGAACCTTGCGAGATCTGATTGGCGGTGGTTTTCTTCTTCGGCATCGGAAAGTTCTTTTTCGTTGAGTATATCTGGGTTGGCATCGTAGATCTCGAACGACTTTTCACTCATAAAAGCAACAACTTTTCCAAGTGATCCGTTTACCAGACCATCATCCATGTTTTTGATTAGCATGACTTGAGCTCCCTTCTTCAATTCAATCGATTTAGGAGCCATCATGTTGGAAAGAAGTTTTTCCCTCATCCCTTCATCGGTAATTGACCCAGAGTCGACAGCCTCAAACCTGTATGCCTTGCCGTGTAGGTTTCTCAGTCTAAATGTATTCGAATTCTCGACCTCATTTCGGGTTGGGAATCTAACAACAGTTAGTAATGAAAAGGGTTGACAATGCACCTATACGCACAATTCTGTAGCTGTCAAGTCGTCTTCATAATTTATAGCGCGTTTCATCTCAACGAAAGCTTTTATAGTGTCTTGAGAGACCTTCCCCAGCCGCATCTCGTTTAACATATTTGCAAACACTATAAAGTGTTAGCCTAAGTGAATAGATATAATGGATCCAACTTACCAGGATCCTTCTGACGAAATACTTCTGTTAGACCAATTGTATGATGAATTGCAGTTCCCCAAGTAGCAGCGTCAAATGCGAATTTGACACCTCGACTTTTTTGGTTGTAATCTGGAACGGGAGGTAGTTGGAAGAAGTCTCCGGTGATCACAAGTTGTATACCTCCAAACGGTCGGCCATTGTTACGCATTCCTCTGGCAATCTCCTCTAACTTATCGAACAAATCGCCATCAACCATAGAAATCTCATCAATGATTAGAACCTTAGTTCTTGTCCATCGAAGCTTAGCTTTGTTGTTTTTCTTTATTTTCTTTATAAGCGTAGGTACATCCTCCTTACCCAGTCCAATACCCCCAAAACTGTGCAGTGTCACGCCCCCAATATTACAGGCAGCTAAGCCTGTAGAAGCTGTGACAGCAACTCGGTCACCCTCGCGGACATATTTCTTTTTCAACGCAGCAATGATTGATCTCATCAAAACGGATTTTCCAGTACCTGCAGATCCAGTAAAAAAGACACTTTTGCCCTGATCCACAACAAGGTCCTTGACCCGATTTTGCTCGTCAGTTAACTGAATCGGGGCCAGTTTAGCAGTCTTAGTACGCCCATGGGACTCCGCTGCAGCCTTTTCAGCTTTGTCAATTTTTCTCTTTCGCATCTCCTTGACCGCCCTCCTCTCCTCTGCAACCTTACTTGCGGTTGTGTTCCATGGCAAATGCTTATCTTTCTTGTCATGAGGTAGAGGGCTAAAATCCCACTCGCTTGGCTTTCCCTTCCCATTGGTAGGGCACTCGTTGACATAATGACCCGTCTTTTTACATTTGAAACAAACTGGGGCAGCAGATGAGCCAATCCCTTCGGAGCTTGACTCTTCGGCTTGCTCTTGTTTAAGCGATACCTCATCTTGTTCTGACTTCTGCTGCAGCCATGGTAATGTACGTCGTTTCGATTTTGGTGCCTCGTCGTCTTCAACGACTATGGCAGACTTTGCCGCCAATTGCTCTCGCTCTCGCTCTCTTCGTTTTAGAGCTCCAGGTGGCGTTCCTTTATTTGCAGGTGGCGAGGACGACCAAGTCTGCGCGCTACTACTTGGCACACGTTGTGCATTGAATCGTTCGCCGAATGGGGACGAAGGTATTGTTGGAAAGGTAGGCTTTGGGGGCGCTGCTATGGAAGCATTGGTAGACAAAGGTTGTGTAGGCAAAGTATAACTGTAATCGAAATCTATGGCATCGTCCTCGCTAAATTCGTCCGCAAAGTCTTCCAGAAGATCAAAGCTGCTATTCTGGGTATCTTTAAATGCGTCATCCCCGCTGAATAACGAACTCATACGAGAGCTGCCGACACTTGATATAACGGTCGATTGACTCTCCTTAGACAATAACTTCCCATTTGCTGAAGCTGGCCTTAGGGGCTGTATAAATCCGCCAATTGCCTGCGAAGGTTTGGGTTTTAATGATTCTTGAATATTTCCATTTCGTGTCAAATTATTTGGCGTAATTGCTATCTTTTTTGCATCGTTCTTCGCATTCGGATGTGAAGGCTCTGTAGCCTTAGCTTTGACCGCTCGTTTTAACATCGCGTTTGCGATAGAAGAGTATGAAGCTCCTCGAGTTGGTGCATTGGTGTTGTAGAATGTTGAATGAGGATGCGCTCTCCAGCGTTGCGCGAAAAGACTTCTAGTGAGTGAAGAAAGTGCTGGAGGAATGGTACGGCCAAGTGGCATAAAATCGTTTGGGGAAAGTGCGAATTGTTAGCAATGCATTTAGTTTCACCTCTTCCTGTTGTAGGTAAGTGAATAGAGTACAGTACTATGTAAGTGACGAATTGAACAATTGAAAATTGTTTTGTCATTTCCTCGCGTCACGGGAAGCCGCGTTGGGAAGGACCGCGTCGTATCAAATCAATCAATTTAGGTTACCCCACATTGATTTATGTAAGGAAATTTTATGGGGCAATTACCAAACCTAATTGTGTGTACATCCATCCATTTGATAGTTTATTGAGTTTATTAGCACTTGGTATCAATTGATCTCAAGCTTATAACAGCCAGGAACCATTCAGTGGGCCAAGACCTCTAACAGCTAGGAATGCCGTCAGTTCATCTATTCATCTAATATTCAGGTATTAGTGCCTACTAGGTAGGTAGTTTGCTTGATCATCATATCTAACCTAACCATGTGATCTTTCTCATACAATGTTTTCAAATCTCAGCCTTACAAGACCCAGACACCATGATACCCCTCCCCCCCCTTGGTGGATCATTCCAACCTTGAGTGAGGCATCTTCACTGATCTATTGATCATCTATCGAGTCACAAAGCGATCGATTCCTATTTCACCATCATAAATATAGAGTAGAGAGGATCTGTAGTTTTCATTGTTGATGTTGGACAGCATTACTTTTTATGGGTAGCTGTGAATGATTCTAACTCTACAGTGCCCTCATCCCATTTTGGCTTCCTACCTGCCAAGCAAATCCTTCGATTCTGCCGAAAAATCTTAGGTCAATCCTATCATTTTCATTACAATCTTTCGTATAACATATTTTATGTAACAGCCAGCCATATCGATAATGACAATGTTGACCAAAAAGAAGAAGTGTCATGGCACAATATAAACGGGGTAGTCGCTATAGTAGATTCGTGGACTCATGAGGAGAAAAGGCGAAGAACGAGAGACCATAAATCAAATGCAGAAAAATAATCCAAAGGCGAAGATAACCTAGAAGAGAAGAAAACAACTTTTTTGATGGACGTAACAATCACCTTTCCAACACTAGGGAACATAGGAAAACTACGACGGATGGAAAGAAAATTATCTTGAAATAGAGCGCCCTATGCAACTTCAACGCTGCTCGGCCTAGCCGTCAAATAAGAGACCAAAGCACAGCTGCGGAAATGAGATTATGCCACCAAAATTTAATATCCCGGCTCCCCATAAGACCATAAGAACTTGACAAAGCAAAATACACCTGAAAATAGTTGCTCCAAAAGAGGTCATAAATGCGTGCGGCCGTATAGAAAATTAGCCTTGGTAACCACCAAAGCCGTTTCCGTAACTTTGCGTAGCGGGAGCACTCCACTGCGCGGTTGGTGTTGGTTGAGCACCACGACCATATCCTCCAGCACTGGCAGGGCCACCATATCCCATGGGTTGGTTGCTGTATTGTGCTGGAGATTGAGCTGGAGGGCCACCGTATCCTCCTTGTTGACCAGCGAATTGGCCTGGGGACTGCTGATTAGCCATGGGTCCAGCTGATTGAGGTCCAGCTTGCGGAGGCATTCCACCGTATTGTGGGAAATAAGCGTTGGGTGTACCTGGGAATCCACCAGGAGTTGGTCCAGCTTGAGGGCTGTAGCTTTGCTGAGAGCCATCGAAGCCTGCTGAGGTGGGTGCTTTATCCTTACCCCACTAGAGAATCGTTAGCATAGAAGAGATATGAAGGGAAAAATCAAACTTACACTACACTTGAGAGGACGACCATTGACATTGTATCCACTCAATTGACAAATGGCGAGTGCGGCATTCTCATGAGAGTCCATCTTTACAAAAGCAAAGCCTCGATCGGCTTGGAAACGAGTCTCGACAACATATCCAAAATTCTGGAACAATGGGACAAGATCCTGTTGTGTTGTGTATGGTGTCAAGTTTCCGACATAGCAAGTGGTTTGCCATTGGGGAGTTTGTTGAACAATCATATCATAGCTCTGAACACCATGGGTTGGGAAGTGATGATGACCAAAAGGCGTGGTAGGAGTCATGCCCATGGCAGACATGGCTTGTTGCTGCGAGATAGATGGCTGGCCCTTCTGGTTGGCCCAGTTGCAACGAATAGCTCGGGAGCCCAGCCATTCACCGTCCATAGAGCTTAGTGCCTTCTCAGCATCCTGACGCTCACGGAAAGCAGCAAAGCCGTAGCCCCTGGATCTTCCTGTCTTCATATCCCACATAACACGTGCCTCGGACACAGATCCAAAGGCAGAGAAAGCCTGTAATAGAACCTCGTCATTCACTTCGTTTGAGAGGTCTCCAACAAAGATGTGGAAGTGGTTTGATGTATCTTCCTTGTTTGATGTGTTCGATTGGTAAGCCCAGTTCACTCGAATTTCCTGTATGAGATTAGTCTGCTGCTTGAAGGACCCATAGAGCGACACTTACAGCCTGGTGGACACGTCTTCCATTCAAAGTTTGCATGGCTCTCTCAGCTGCTCCGGGATCATCATATTCGACGAAACCATAGTTGAATCCCTTTGACTGAACCTCGATTAGCATAATGTTATAGTCAAGTGAAAATGTATGGAAAAGGAAAGAGTTGAAACTGTTAAAACCCTATTAGGAAGTTTCGTAGGCTCCTAAGGCTCAAAGCTTTGGGATATGACGGCAATGAAAAAGATTGATACTGACAGCACCTACATTCTTGTCAGGAATGATTTTGACATTTTGAACATGGCCAGTTGTCTCAAAAATTTGACGGAGTATTTCTTCAGTGACTCTTGGGTCAAGACCTCCAACATATAATGCGCGCTTGTTTGGTTCCGGTGCAGCTCGGCGAACAAATCCACCAGCGCTGTCTGGCGACATTACCCCACCATTCTCGCCCATAGGAGATGTAATAGCAGTTGGGATTGGATTTGTGTTTTGCGGAATAATGACTGGTGGAAGTGGTGGCGGTGGCATATGCGAAGGATTGCCCTGGCTGTTGTGGCCATTCTCATAGCCTGGCGCACCAGCAGAAGTCTGCGGTGGTGGTGGGAGCTGAGCACTGCCTGGAGCACCGTTGTCTGCCATTGTAATATATGATCAAAGATGGTACTTGAAGTGGTTTCCTTGAAAAACTTGATCGGAAGTAGATAGACTTAGAAATCGGAAGTAGGAAATTGTCTGGAGAGGATCGAAAAGAGATCGAAGATACAAGGAACGAAAAAAGTTGAGTTGCGAAGGTGCGCTGATTTACGTTCTTGTGTAACTTGAACGATAAGAAGCGCGTGAGACTCGAAAATTCGATAAATGACTTGCGAAATAGATCGATGAGAAAGTTAAATAAGCAACAAGTTGTTAATCACTTGTTGTGTGAATGAATAATTGAACTTTGGAATTCAAAGTGAACAGAGGAAGTTCAAGATCAAGCTTCGGATGATGCAGAAGTAGCAGAGAGTAAGAGATCGATAAAGGAGGGGTTTTCTGCGACCAAATGCCAGAAGACCGAGTGAGAAATAGAGAGGATGAGACGATGATGATAGATTGGAGATGTATGAATATGAAAGAGATTAATCAATCACGACCGTAAAAACAGACGAGAGGAATAGAGAGGAGACAAACACCACTCGAAGATCCAAACGCCCTTGTATTGACAGTAGATTGAAAAAGAGAGATGGAAAGAGACGACGCTGCAAATGATTTTTCTTGCACACAGTAGGAAAAAAGATGTTGAACGAAGAGAAACTGGGGCGGGGGGGGAGGTGAAAGTAGAAGTTTGGCGCAAATTACTTTTACTGCAAGTTGAATGAAGGAGGGTCCTTTTTCTGGTAAAAACGGTAGGTTGTAGCTCTTCTTTCTTTCTGTTAGTTTCTACGCTAATCAAGAGACAAGGCTACTAGGTACCAGATAGGGTCCGGGTAAGCCAAAAGATGGAATATTACTAGGGGATGATATGTAGGTACCTGAGGTTATGGATTATCATCGATTCACTCGTTTGAATTGTACTGTGAGACTGTGTATGTGTATATTCTGTTTATATATCAACTAACAACGACAATCGGGTTCATCCATATTCATGTGCGTCCTTTCTTTCTACGCACTGCCTACCTACCATTCCTTTGGGTTCACCAAGCCAACAGATTTTTATATTCTTTCTCTCCCTCAATACACATGAGGACATCCCATACCTACTAGGTCCTGCAGGTGATGTGATTGACTGCTCAACTGCTAATTTCCGTCTGCTTCTTTCGCTTATGTACGGCGATTCCTTCCTCTCAATGCAAGTGAACTCTTTGGGATAAATTCAATTGATTCAATTAAGAGGTTCGCCTTCAGATATTCATTATTTCCGGATATTATATATGGTGGGGTGGGATGGGGAAGATATCTGCTCGTGTATTGGATGGGACATTATCGTCCATGATTTCTTCTCATGGGTATCATTGAGTACTCCAGCTGCGCAAGATTCATTGGCTTGAAGTTCTGTCAAGATTCCATTGAAGTATATAAGTTAGATACATATCAATAAGTAATATACTTGCTGTTTATTTGTATACTGGCTGTTGATTTTGGTTGAACATGTGATAATTATGAACGGCTCAGATTCAGGACTGTACGGAGTAGGGACATGTCATTCACAATCAATTGGTAAACTATACCTACCCTAGCTAGCTACTAGGTAAGATATAAACTCAATTCCGTGAGGACATCTATCATAAACATACAGTCAGCTAGGTACCTACAGGATATAGATTCACTTCCTCAATATATCTTTCTATAAATATCTTGGCTTCTTCTATCTCCTTTACCCAAAATCTTGATTCTTTCCCAAATTACTTCATTCGACTGCTTCCTCAAATCAATTCACGGGAATCTTTTGATTGGTCGTCAGATACCTGTCTCCTACCTACCCTACCTGGGTTCAATTCAATCTTCATTGGCCACCACCTACAGTCAGGATACTGTGCATGAACTGTCTTGTCTGTATGTAAACTACCAACAAGACCCCCCATTGCACAGCACAGCACGCACGGAACGGAATCATTACTCTATTCAAATGCTGCCCGCTGGAGCGGTCCGAGAAAGTTACTTTAAGGAAGTAGATGATGCTGTACCGACGGGAAGGAATATCAAGGGATACCGATTGGCAAATTACTCAATCGATACGATAGTACAAGGTATAAGTCAACGTCTTGTGGACAGATCATCCCATCTTTCTTGAAGTTAAACTTCCGTGCGGCCCCAGGCATGAGCATTGAGCAGTGCAGTAAGCACCACACACAGACATGGAATCGAAGCTTATCTTGCAATCTCATCAGAGGGGTTTAATCAAAGTTTACGTCCCGACAGCTCTAGTTTCGACGGATAACCCATTTTCTTGATAGTTCCGACAAGCTAATGACGGATAAGAAGTTGTGTTATTAAGGAGATCATCTAACAGATTCGAGTAACCAACTAATAAGCATCTTAGGTATGAAGCAATTATGGAAGTTCTCCTAAAGGTTGTTATCAGATTCATCAGGCACTGTACGCCTTGATTCAAGAATATTTTTGGATTCGTCTCGGCCACTTCCTATGGAGCGGAATACCATCGAACCTCCTTCTATCCTTTGCTTCCACTGGGTGATGGGTAATATTTTAGGGTGAAATTGCTTTGCTTATCAGGGAGGTGTGATTTTACGCCTCATTTGTGCCTCAAAAGCATTGAAAAGGTCAACATGGGTGTGTTAGCAACTCATTCGTCAATAGCTCCACGTTATCCAACATGAAACCAACAGCGAGATATCACCTGCATTGAGTGAACACATTTCTATCGCAACATCAAGGTCTGAGGGCAATAAATCTTTACATCATACCTACTCATTCACCATTCCTTTTGCTACATTACCCCTCCAGTTTTACCATCTTACTTTAAAGATCACTCCTAGTTAGTAGCTTTGCACAAGCCTCTTGAACGTCTTTGCATGCGGTGAGGCATCAAAATTGTATCAAGGAAAGACATAACTCAACTGTATTTTGGATTAGTTGTGTATGCGTATGTAGATAGGCTGGCTGATTGGCATATGCTGAATTTTGATTTTGATTTTGATTCTGACTATTCTCTATACAGGCCCGTACCTGCCGAACTACAGGAACAAGGGGATATGACAAAAAGCTTTGATTGAGCATCAATTATTAGTAAACCGTGCAAAGCCTTGTGAGACTTGTGTAAGCTTGGTACAGTGATATTTAAAGTGGGGATGATCGGAACAATGTTCGCCGAGCTTCCAATGACTTTCATCTGTACTATGATGAAACCAACAGTGGAAACCTAAAAGTCTACCAATATTCACCATACAGATATCTTTTCTAGACAGGAAGGTCGACTCTTCTCTCCTCTATAATAGATTCAATCTTGTTCTCAGAAAACTCTTCTACCAACCTTCACACCAGCTGCTAGCACACTAACTCCCTTTTGACCATGGCTCAAGCACAACAACCCAAAACTCCTTTGGAGATTCTGCAAATCCAGATCAATGCGATTGTATGTGCTCTGGGAATTCGATCATTAACTCATAATCTAACACATTTATCAGCTTATAGAGACTGGCAAAGCTCTTCGCGCTACAGGTATAGAGGGAGGGAAATCTATGGCCATTTCCGCCATAAGACTACACTCGACTATTCCATCTATAACCGACAATTTCCACCGAGCTTTGGACGATCTTGAAGCTGAGATTGTAAGTAGACTGACTGCTTGCTTGAATATTTAGTTGCGCGGCATTGACCTGAGAATACAGATACGAGCAAAATCTGTTTTGGGTCGAGATTTAGAGGAATTGCGATCGAAACGAATTGCGGCAGAGAACCCGCCTGCTCAAAACATAGAGATCCCCGTCGCACATGAGCCCACACCACCTCCGCATATCCCATACGAAGATACAACTTCGGCAATAAAGCAAGAGACGATCCAAGACAACAATTCCATGCCAACAATTGCGAAGGAAGAGGAAACCCCAATCAAAATTGAAATGGCGAAAGAAACTAGAGATGAGGAAGAGATGAAAGAGCCTACGATTTTATCTCCACCCAGTACAAACGACAACAAATCCCAACCAATTGGCCTTGGAATAAACACTACGCTTCCTGCTTCTACAGACGCCCCTGCAACGGCCACAGGAGGCGGACAAGATTCTTCAATCGATTCCCTTTTCGATAATCCAGACAGCGCTACCAATGTAGATTCCGCAGCTCTCAACTTCGACAGCATGGATTTTTCAATGCTGGACACAGCTACCAATACTCAAAGTCAAGATAATAACCACACACAAAATACCGAGTTCGACCTCTCAACGTTTGGGAGCAATCCTCAAGATTTCAACATGAACGATTTACAACCTTCTAACGAGGCTTCTTCTAATAATAATAACAATAATAATCATAATGGCGCAAACATCACTACGACCACTGCTCAAGGAGATATGATGGATGATATCCTGAATATGGCTGCTGGCAATGATACGAATGACAACAATAATAACAATAATAATAACATGAACATGGACTCAAATCTCGACAATATGGTCGGAGCCGACGAAAGTGTATTTGATGATTTATTCTTTGGGAATGATGACGATGGAAATGTTGGAGGAGACATAGGCGAAATGGAGCATGGTCAATTTGATAGTGCATTCTTTGGTATTGACTAAAAAGTTGTTGGGTATACCATTGGAAAGCGATATCATTTTCAGAACTTCAAGAGAAGGGTGTGGTCATAGAGACATAATGTTTTGGCATAGGGGATAATGTAATGTCTACATCGAGGATGTTGATTGCTCTCTAACGCTCCTTTCCTTCCCAATCTTTTCAATCCCATTTCATTGTTTTCGTTCAATGTAACCAGATTCTCACAAACTATCGGAAATGTTATCAAGCGAAACTTACTGATATTTTCACTTTTCATGACTGTGGTTCGGGTCTCCACGAATGTATACATGGCATACACAACAGTATTTGTACCGGCTCAGATTGCAATTTGTTAAATCAAAAGTTTCTTGATATTTGTATCACTTCACGTATAGTCACTCAATCATTTGTTCCATCTGGAATATCAAATTTATGTAAGATTACGATGTCAAATTGTATATTTAATTTCAAAAACTAAGAATTCTTCAACGAGACCAGTCTCTGAATCAGAAAAGGTATTAAAGAAGATGTTGCGAATACGACGTGTAAGGAAGTTTCCAATCTCGTTCGTCTTTGTTCAATTTCTACTCGCTGCTCGGAAAGAAAATCTATATCTAGATCTGCCCCGGATTTTAATTCAACATCGAGCCCATTTTTTCTTCTCCCAAGCACCCCAGCTCATTGTACCCTCCTCGTCATAATACTCAATTTTCTTCGCCGGCTTAAACCATCGCTCTCTTTCTCTCTGCTGAGCCAGATGCTCTTCCTTTGCTTCAATTCTCTGGAAGTTTTCCCTATTTTTGCGCCTCGATATCCAGCGTTTAGCGTCAGCTAGTTGGCGGACAGTTTTGGGGTAGATGGCTCCGTTGCTGAGGGTGTAGATTTTTTCGGTGGCTCGTGGGAGAAATCGGGCGCGTGGGGTGGGGGATGCAGAACTCCAGACTCCGCCGTGACTGAGAGGTTGGGAGGTTAGTGCGAGGAGGGCTTCTGCGGTGAGGTGTTGGGGTGGAGTGGATTGGGTACTTGTAGGGACTACAGTGGTGGGGGAGATGAAGGAGGAGCGTCGATCGGGATCTGTAGGAGAAGATTTGTGATCTGCTTTCTCGTCGATTCTGGGTTGGGTTTTGGAAGGTGGTGAGGTGGTGTTTTTGGTGCCCTCGCTTGGAGTGGAGATAGGGGGGCGTTGGGAAAGGGAATTGGGCCAAGGCATTTTGGGGATGATGCTTGTAAGGATTGAGAATTTGTATAGGGATATCCTTTTGCTACTTGTGTACAATTGGAGTATTGTATTATGTACGAATTTTAAGGGCCTGGTAATTAATCCGAATTTTACAGTGTTGCTATCCCGGCAAAATGTTTCTTTATCCGATTGGAGAGGCTTGAAATTCCATCCATACATAAAGAAATGACATAGCTTTATGAGGTTTTATCGGCGTTGTTCTGAATCAGTTTGGTTTTCAGAACAAAGGAATCAGTATGAGACATTAATGTGGAAACTTCAAGTACTAACGACTACACAAACAAGAGAATCGAAATGCGTCTTAGGGGAAGTTTTAGCACAACAAAGAATAACGAATTTCATACTATTCTTCGGTCTTTTTAATCTTCGAAGAAATCATCTACTTTTCCTCCTTATATAACGATAGTCAAACCCAGAAATAAGCAATCAGAAGCAAAAATGCCACGAGCGGGCCAGAAAAAAGGTGATCGAGATGATACATACAAACCTAGTAAAGAAGCCGAAGAAGACATCGCCGACGTCGACGTCGACATTTTAAAACCCACCAAAGCAACCCTCAAACCATCTAAAATCACCAAGCCTCTCTCAAAAGGAGCTTCAAAACAACAAACCCAAAAGAGCACTCCAAAAGGCACTCCCAAAGGAACACCCAAACACACACCCCGATCTACCCCCAAACCCCCCTCAGCAGGCGCCTACAAAAAACCCTCTCCCCCACCCAACACCCGCACCGCCGCTCCCTCCTCTACCACGATCATCCCCTCCCTACCCAGCGCGCCGTATTTCTGCTGCCGCAAACCACTTCCTCTCTCATCTTCTTTCCCTCCTGATCTCCAACGCTTCTACACTTTCCTCGTCGACTCCCTCACTATCATGTATTTTCCTTCACCCGTGGCTAAACTCCCAGCGTGCACGACCTATTACCGATTTTCGCACCTTTCCCTCACCACATGCACAGAAGTGCATCGATATTTTCTCGCGTACGAGCCGCGCGATGAAGTCGAAGGGGTATTTTCCGAGGGTAGCGAGGCGGATGTGTTAAGTAAGGCCGGGCGTTGGGTAATGAGGATGGGGTAGAGAGGAAACAGGATGTGATGATTTTGAGTCGCAATGCGAGATGTGAGGAGCATATGAAAGAGGGATATTGGTATGTTTTGATGAGGGTGGAGCAGGTTGTGGAGAAGGAGGTCAAGAATGTGAATGTGGGGTTTGTGGGCATGGCTACGCAGACGGAGACGCAGGGGGAGGAGATGGATCATGAGATTGATTTGGATTTGTATACGTAGAGATTGAGGGGGGACTGGTGGATGAAGTAGAGTAGAGAGAGATGGGTTTTGGGATGGGCATGTTGAGTATGCTTTATGCTGGGGTTTCAAATCTACGTACGTGCCTCCGGTGTTTTATAACCAAATTGTTTATCCCAGGAAATCAGCAAATTTGTGCTTCTGCATCTTCTGAAAATGAATCGAAGAATTGTCTAATCATGGGGATTGTTAAAGAGATACTTGATATCCGTTTGGTATATTGTACTCATCTGGAATATAGAGTCTGATTAGAATTCAAATTGCGGGTAGAGATTTGTGGATTGACGCCATCTAGACTTCAGCGCAAGCTAATTTCGTTGAGGAAAGATCACGAGCAAAGAACCCTTCTGATTATCCAATCTTTTCTTTTATTGTTGGCTACTTGGCTCTGGAGACGTCTAGAAAGAGTTTCTAAACTTGGGTTTAAGATTAGTTTGTGAAGTTAGCCGGACGATGGCCCTCAATAAGAGCAAGATGGCTACATCGGTTTCCGTCTCTGGTACATACGAAAAAGCACCTTTAATTCAAATAAATCCTGCAGCTCTGGTAAATCCAGAACTCTTAAATTGTGCTGAGATAAATCATTTCTGCTTACCCTGCTTCCCGTTCGGCTGTTTATAGCGCAAGATATCTTGTCTACAGGTGGTAAGTATGGCAATAATGCACCTAGCATGACTCTAGGATATATAGAAGATTGAATTAAAGGGCCTCAAGAAGTTGAAGTGAGCCTGGTATCTCACTATAATAGCACAGAGACATTAAATGATAAGAATGGGTGAGATAGAGGTAGAGATGTAGTCTACCATTTGTTCAGCTTAACTACTGGCTAGGAGAGAGATGTTATGATGACAACCTCGACACACTGGAATAACTGGAGTATGGCCTTGCCATCGTCTCTGTGTTCTTCGTGCTTGAGAAGAACGTTTACTCGAGGATTCTGTCGTCTCTCTATTATTATGGAGAGAATGCAACTATTGAACACATGATAGGGAATATGGGAACACCAAGAAACTCTCAAGAGGTCACACGACCTAGTGTTACAAGAGACGAGTTCTGTACTGAGGCGAGGTCTCAGAATAGTGGAGAAAAGGTGTACAGGATTTGAAAACGAGTTGAAGGATTAAGTCCAGGCTCAAGAATGGTACTATGGAAGGGGTGAAGCGGATGAGGCGGCTGAGAAGTGTATTCTCAAGTGATATCAAATTAAAGAGGTCGGATGCCAAGGGAAGAACAGCACAGAGTTTCTGGATGCAGCATTGTTTTATGCGTTGATGTACATGCAGCCTGGAAATTCAGCCGCAGTGCCTGATTTGCATCGCGTGGAACAGATCGGGTGGGTTCGAGATTCAGATAACCGTTGACGCATCTCAGCATGCTATTTGTCGTCTAGTCAAGCAACAGACGGAGACCGAAAACGCTCATTTCACCGCCACAACAAGAGGTGCGTGTCACGGGTATTCTTCGGTCCACTTTCCCCGTTAAATATCGTGGCGAACAAGTCGCTGCCGAATGATCCGTCCAATGTAGGTAATGCTTTCGCACGAGGTGTTCCAGAAACTATTTCGGGAGTGAAAGCACGTGTACCCAAGCATACATACTTGTTCGATATATTTCACTCTATAACGGCACTTTCTGAATGCCAGCGATCTTTCTGGGTGCATATATTCGGGCACTTACTTTGCTTGGGCAGCAGATACCGTAGTACTCTGAAAAGCAAGCTTTTGCGTACCAAATTTTGCGTCCTCCTTGAGAATGCACACTCATTTGAGTGTCGGGCTCGAAGAAATATAGCTGAGAGTAGAGGCTGTTATGCGCCACTTGGTATGAAACTGATTCTGCATAAATACGGAGATGCCACGGAGGAATACCAAGTATGCTCCATACGTGGAATTCTCAATGGCTCGAGCTTCCCATAGCATGCTGATCTGGCAATAGCCAGGCTCGATAATGCCCTCGTGGCTTCAATTGTATTTTCCCTTGGGTTGACATTCAAAACCTCATTATTTGTATTGAAATGGAAGAGAAGGTTGGTGGAAGTATTATAGATGAAACTTCAAGGTCCGCTGGCTTAGCTTATGGAGTTGATGGGCTCGAGACAAGTTCGAGATAGGGTGATTGGCTAAGCGGCTTACTCATGAGCTCATACGAGGGCGTGTCTTTGATGAATGCCGAGCTAAAATTTAAGCGAATTTCCTCATCAAAACCATGCTTTATTCTATATATTTATAAATATATAATAATTCAAATATTCATTATAAAACTTTAAAATTTGAAAAATATAAAGAGATTTAATTAATAATTAATTTGATATTAGAATTATTAATTTTTAAATTGAATTAATAATAAAATTCTATATAGAAATTTGATTCTTAAAATAAGTATATTTCTTATAGAAATTTTAAGTATTAAAAATTCAATATAAATTTCGACTTAATTAAAAACTTTAATAAAAAAAACTAAAACTATATTATTAAATTTTAAATAAAAATTTATTACTTTACAAAATTTCAAATATATAATAATATTAATTGATTTAATATTGAATTCTAAAATGAATAAGTTTTGATATGGAAAAAGTGCTTGCGCACGGACCCGGCAATCATTAAAAACACGCCCTCGTATAGGTAGTAACTGCCGACGGGCGTTTAACCCTTTTCTACCGCCAGCTTGCTGCTTTTCTATCATTTGGCGTTCTTCGTTCATCTGGCAAAAATGGCAACGGCTGAGCTAACCATTGTCAACCCTTAGTGCTTATTCGTGGACCTTCTCCACTCCCCCATCATCTTCTTTAGCAGAATTATCTCTTCCAATCATCCAAATATTCATTACAACAAGCATTGCTCCATCTTGTCTATCTATGGTCAGAATCAGTAGTTAAAGTTTTGAGTCCTTTTGCGTCCTTTTGCGTCTAGAATGACCGAGTACTCCATCAAAGCACATAACAGCATGTGCAAACATATCATTGGTCGTGTCTTCTGAACTATCTGCTGGCAAGGATCGGGGAAGTCTCGCCGACAAGTGTGGAATAGGCGCTGCATCCGCTGTATGGATATTCTTTGATACCAGCCATCTGGTCGAGTATGCAAATATCCTGAGGGATTTGGAGGGGTGCTTGAACGGCATTTTGGAAATATGTGGACCATCATCCAACAATGTGCGAAAGTGCGCAAGAGTGTGCGCCTTAACCGCTGATTGGACTCTACGTCCTAATAAATTTGTTTGTCCCTACCTACTGTGAAAGTACAAGTACCTAGAATAGTCTCCCCGTACTTTCCTCGGTGATCTGTTTGTATATTTCTCATGTCGAATTTAGCGAAATCTGATATCGAGCGCTTAGGTCGCCAAAGACCGCCTCAGTTCAAGACAGTATGGACTGAAATCGGATTTGTGTACGTCATCCTCCTCTTCTATCTTGTAAATTTGCCGTGTTCCATCTGTTCCACTTGGATCTTTCTGGTGATGTCGATCTTTCAAATGGTTTTCCTCTCAAACGACCTGAAGAGTCAAAACCCACCGATATGGAGACAGTGTCTCGACTCTAACCGCCCCTTTTCAGCGCTGATGTATGAGATGTCTCAGATTTTCTACTTGTGTTTCTCAAGTTCTTTCGGTATGTCGAAATCAAATAGTGAGAAATGGTTACGTTCTTACGCCTTTCGTACAGGAGTATTTCGTTAGCGGATTTGCCGTCATTGTTCCAAGCCTTATGAAAGATCTCAATATTCCAATATCCTCATCAACATGGCCAGCAACAGCTTATTCTCTGATGGTTTCATCCGTAATGCTACCCTTCGGTAGACTGGCAGATATATACGGTGGAAGACGAGTTTATATCGGTGGTCTCGCGTGGCTCACGCTCTGGTCGTTGATTGCTGGATTCTCGAAAGATCAATATATGCTTGACATATGCCGGGCTTTGCAGGGGCTGGGCCCAGCTGCATTCATGCCATCCGGGATGATGTTACTAGGTCGAACATATCGACCAGGACCAAGGAAGAATCTCGTTTTCAGTGAGTAACCCTTGATAAAACCAATACATATCTGACCGCTTCTTAGGTATATATGGTGCATGTGGGGCCGCTGGATTTTTCATTGGCATTTTCTTTGCTGGGCTGACTGCCGAATTTGCTAAATGGGCATGGTATGTACAATTATATCTATTTAATGGATTGGATTAACTCGTTTTAGGTTCTTCTGGGTGGGGGCTATTTTGTCTTTCTTGAGTGTCGCTTCTGCAATGCTTTGCATTCCATCCGAAAACGATAAGCGCGATGACCTTCAGATGGATTGGCTTGGATCAGGGCTTCTAGCAGCCAGTTTCATACTTTTTGTTTTCGCCATAACGCAAAGCGCTTATGCGCCGCACGGATTCAAGACCTCATATATCATTGTTACACTTGTGTCAGGGATAGTTCTTTTCGCAATCGCGATGTATGTCGAACGATATGTTGCAAGTCAGCCACTCCTACCATATTCGCTTTTTGCTGTCCCGAACATGAAACCTCTATTCATCGCTTTATTCTTCACATACGGAAGTCTTGGAGTCTTCCTGCTTTATGCTACATTCTATTGTACCAATATACTGGGTGCTTCGTGCCTGCAACTGGTTGCATGGTTTATTCCACTTGCTATTGGCGGATGTCTTATCGGTACATTCGGCGGCTTCATACTCCATCTCATTCCCGGCACAGCTCTGATTATCTTCTCTGGTATATGCTGGATCATTGCCCCTTTACTATTCGCACTCGCTCCCATACATGCAACATTCTGGGC